AGCACTCTACCCAGGGGGACAGCTTGAGGCTCTGTCTCAAAAAAAAAAAAAAAGAACTACGACTCTTTTTATAAGCCCACCAAAGGGTATGTGATGCAGATAATTTTTGAGACTTGATTATTCATCTTCTTCTTATACATCTACAATTTGTGCTTAGTGTTTATCTTGAAAAATTAAAATCATTGCATCGCAGTTTTCTCCTCGTATGATCATTTCCGCAAGTTGCGTCTTCAGAATTCTTAGCAGTCAAGCTCTGCTCACTCTCCCACAGCCTAGTAAAAGCTAGATTTCCTGAATTAATGCAGCAGTGAGTATTTTTTCTTTTTCTTTTTCCCTCCAGCCCATTTACTCCATTTGCCAGTTACGTTCCTTCCTCCATTCTTTCTTTGGAGGTAAATATATCCCTGGAAATACTTATTTGCAGGAAAATCTTTCCCCAGCAGTGGCCAGAGTAATGAAGAGAAAAGTTAGATCAGTCACCAAGAACTGATTATATTAAAATTCCTTTTTTTTGTTTTTTGTTTTGAGACAGAGTCTTACTTTGTCACCCTCAGTAGAGTGCTATGGCTTCACAGCTCACAGGAACCTTAATCTCTGGGCTTAAGCAATTCTCTTGCCTGAGCCTCTCAAGTAGCTAGGACTACAGGCACCCCCCACAACGCTTGGCTGTTGTAGTTGTCATCGTTGCTTAGCAGGCCTGGGCCGACTCAAACCCACCAGCCTCAGTGTATGTGGCCAGTGCCCTAACCTCTGAGCGACAGGTGCCTACCTGTATTAAAATTCTTAACTTTGTCTTTCACAGGCTTTATCTGAGTGTGCAGTGACACTGAAAACCATTCATCTCAGACGGGTGAGCCTCGTCCTCCATGCCCTTTCTCTTCCTCTTGCGTTCCATTTTAATGGTCTTTGACTCATTTTGTTCTTGAAAGCTGTATCTTGTATAAAATGTAATTCAGTTCTGACTTTTTGGGACATGGGATTGAGTGAAAGCAGTGTATCTGCTGCTGTTCTTCACGTGTGGGTGGTGAGGAAGTTAACAAGTATGTTCTGATTTGATAAAGGACATGCAGTAGCTTCCCTGGATTTCAGGGTCCACACTTCACGGTCTGGCTGTAAGCTTTCTCCCAGCCAGACGCCTCGGCCACTCTGCATCACAGAGAGAGAGAGGCCTCACTATCTCACTACTTTTGAAAGTTCTGTTCTTCTTTGTCAGTCTAATCATTTGTATAATTCAGAAGTGATAGGTATTTTTTTTCTTTTTTTTTCATTTAAGATTCCTATTTCTGGTTTTGTTGTTGTTGTTGTTTTGGCTGGGGCTGGGTTTGAACCCGCCACCTCCAGCATATGGGACCAGCACCCTACCCTTTTGAGCCACAGGCACTGCCCAGTGATGGGTATTTTTAAATGACGGGGTTTTTGCCAGCATTAGAAAAATCAGAATTTTTTTTAAACAAAAATTCCTGCTTCCAACTTCTCTCAAAGCCCCAATACCGACACAGGATTGACGTTAGCTACAGTCAACTGAAGAAAACAGTTCCCCTGACCTCGGGAGAGAGAGCTCTCACTCCCCAGTTTCCATTCAGCCCACTCGCTCACTTGAACTTGACTTTTTGATTCTGATAGAAAGTGTCGTGTTGACACTTGGAAATGTCTCCCTTCGTCGTTCTTCTGCCTGACTTGAAGTACAGGTAGTTTTCCTAATTAAAACAGCTACACTTTTTTAAGTGATAACAGTGGGTTCTGTGAGAAGATGAGCAGTGCGTGGGAAGGAAGCAGAGAAGGGACAAACGAGAAGACAAGAAGGCCGGAGTGTGTGTCACCTCCCCTCAGAGGGCCACTGGGTCCTGTGGGTCAGCGGGCCGGGAGTCAGGGCAGAGCAGGGCAGACAGAGCTTTTGATACTGGAGCAGTGGTTCTGAACAGGAAGTCTGGGTGGGCTCCCTCAGGAGAGGCGGATTGATTTCACTCTGGTAACTGTTACTCTCAGTTGGACCTGGTTGGGGTCATCAACATCTTAAACACCTTAAGTTTGAAAGTTAAATTAGCTTCTTTTTAAAAAAGTGTTGTATTTGTTACATTTTATGTTTCCTCATCTAGGAGTACTAGAAATTGGGCTTTAATTGAAGAGCATTGGTTTTTTTAAATGTCAGGTGCCCTGATTTTTAGTAAAAGTTTAACCAGCAGCAGACTGGGCAACTTCCTTTCTCTTTCTGGGTTATAATTTCCTCATCTCTTTAATCTAACTACTAAATTCCCATTCCCTAGTTTGTTAAATAGAAAAAGATGTGATTTTACTGTAGCTATTTTCTAACATATTATTTATTGTACTTTCTAAATGTGGTCACTAACACTGGCATGGCCCAAAGGCTCCCCACAGACACACTATAGTCCGTCCGCCCACTGGCAGGTGGAACAGGAGCACCTTTGTTCGCTGTTTGGAAGGTTCTGGCAGCATCGCAGCCTGAGTTCTGAAAGATGTTTGTTTAATCTTTAGCAGTACTAAGTTATGTTAAAGGGAGTAAATGCTAAATGCTGCTCTAAGAGCTTTACATTTCTTAACTCATCAAATCCTCACAATAGCCTCATTTTTCAGATGGAGAAACTGAGGCTCCGAGAGGTTAGGTCCCTTGCTCAAGTTGCCAGAGCCAGGCTCCAGACCAAGGCAGGCTGGCTCTGGCGTCTGTGTTCTTAATCACAATACTAGATGGCCTTTGAAGTACACTTAACCTTATTCCATTCATTTTAAACATTATTAATATCAGGAAAGAAAATAGCTCTATCTTTCACTCTTCAGGGCCCAGAGTGTGTTCAGTATCTTCAACAAGAATACCTGCCCTCCTTGCAAGTAGCTCCGGAAATAATTCAGGTAAGAGCTGTGCTGGCAGAATTGCTCTGAATGCAATTAAAGAACTCTGACTATGTGGTTCAGTGTCAGTTTTGATTCAAGAGTCCCAAACTGAGCTTGGCACTGTGGTGTGTCTTTGCTGCTTGGGACGGTGAAGCTGGAGGATCACTTTGACTTTGAGTTCGGGTGTTCATCTAGAACTGCCTGGGCAAAATGGTGGGACCCCATCTAAAAAATGATTGAAATTAAAAGGAAAAATAAAAAGCCAGACTGCATTCTGCTTGATGTTTGCTATGCACTGGACAGAGGAGCGCTGAGCCTCGAGTCCAGCCATCAGGGTGTCTGTAGAATTGATTGGGAAAGTTTATACTTTTCACTAATCACTGACTGAAATTTAATTTTCTACTAATGTGTAGGTGGCAGATCACAGAATTAGTAGCATTGTCCATGACATGTATTCACCAATAGAAATTACAGATATTTTTATGTCACATAAGTTATGAATATTGCTAAGTATAGTTAGCTTATCACAGTTTTGAAAGTATGAGTTGTTAGTAATGCCACTATACCTTATTACCTAATGAGTTAATAAGTCATCTTTTTTTTAATGTTTTTTAGACTAGGTCATGTTCTGTTGCTCATGCTAGAGTGCCCTGGCATCATGATAACCAACCAACCTCAAAACTCCTAGGCTCAAGCCATCCTCCTGCCTCAGCCTCCTGAGTAGCTGAGACTACAGCAGGTGCCACCATGCCCAGCTAAGTTTTTCTTTTTTGTGGAGATGGCAATCTCACTGTGTGGTCAGGTTGGAACTCCTGTGGTGGGTCTGGAACTCCTGGCCTCAAGTGATCCTCCTACCTTGGCCTCCCAAAATCTAGGATTACAGGCATGAGCCACTGCGCTCAGCCTAGTAAGTCTTATTATTCTATTATATTTTAAATATTTTGGTAACCATTATTCTTTATAATTGGTTGCAATTATAATCTCATGCTAAAAGGAGTCTAATAGGCCTCCCCAGACGGCCCAGGGAGGCCGCAGCTCTGCCAGCCCGTGCTGCGTGGCTCTGCATGTCTGCCGGCCTTGTCGGTGCTTAATTTGTAATTCTGAAACTATCTTGAGGAAGGTGGCCAGAGAAGTGACCTTGCACTTTTGCACATTCAAGGTCATTTGTAATAGCATTTGGTTATTTACTTGGCATGTGGTTTTCCAGACTTCTCTTGCCTAATAGTACATGGAGCAGTTATAAACTTTTGATTAAAACTAGAATTGCATTCTCTTGTATAGATCCTGAGATTTGTTTCTTCATCAACAGTGTTTTTGTTTCATTTATTTTATCGTAACACTTAGATGTACCTTTTACAAATTTTTAAGTGCACCCCACAGTATTGTTAGTTACGGAGGACGGTGTTGTACTACACAGTGTTCAGTACATCTCTAGAACATACTCGTCTCGTGAAGTGGAGAATCTGTGCTTGTGGTTAGTGGCCCCTGTCTCTCCCTCCCCCCAGCATCCTCCAGGCTCAGGCTCACCCTTGCTGCTGCGTATGGCCGGATTTCCTGTTTGAAGGCTGAGCAGCGTGGTCTGGTGTACACACACATGTTCTTTATCCAGTAGTCCATTTCTGTGCATTTTAGCTGATTTCCTCATCTTGGCTATTGTGAGTAATCCTTCAGTGAGCACGGGAGTGCTTCTATGTCTTTGAGATCTTACTTTCGATTATTTTAAATAAATACCCAGAATTGGGACCGCTGGATTATATGGTAGCTCCATTTTCAGTTTTTTGAAGAACCTTCGCAGTGTTGTCAGTGGCACCTGCACTACTTTGCATTTCTGTCAGCGGTGTACAGGGCTCCCGATTCTCACATCCCACCGGCACGCCTGTGAGTTCTCTGTACAAGCCGTCCTGGCAGGTTTGAGGGGACATCTCACTGTCGATTTGTATTTCCCTGATAATCTATTGGCATTTATGTGTCCTATTGGAGAGATGCCTATTCAAGTCTTTAGCTCATTTTCTATTCTGGTTACAGGTATTATTTTTTGCTATTGTGCCAGTTCCTTATATATTAGAACGTAACCCCTCATCAGAGAGGTGGTTTGCGAACATCTCCTCCCATTCCGTAGGCTGCCTTTCCTTCCTCTCTGTTGGTTTTGCTCATTACTTTGCATGCAGAAGCTTCTTGGCTTGGTGCAGCCTTGTTTATTTTTACTTTTGTTACGTGTGTTTTTCATGATATCCATGAAGTCACTATCCAAACGAGCGTCTTGTAGCCTTCCCAGTGTTTTCTTCTGGTTTTGTCCCAATCAGCATCAGGCAGGGCTCCGCCCCCCCACCCCCTGCCAATGTTTTCTTCTGATTTTGCAGTTTTAGGTCTTCCATTGGGGTCTTTAACACGTTAACTGCCACATAAGTTGTGTTTAACGGTAGTGTGGAGCCTGGGGCCTCGTGAAGCATGTATGACTCAAATGTCTCTTGGCCTAATAAAACACTGTGGCCCTAAGGAAAGAAAATTTTCAAGTGCGATAGTCAGTTTGTTAATACATTCTATAATTGTCTTTGTCTTTGATATAAGAAAAAGTCTTTTTTTTTTTTCGAGACAGTCTCATTGTGTCACCCTCGGTAGAGTACTGTGACATCACAGCTCACAGCAACCTCAAATTCTTGGGCTTGAGCGATTCTCTTGTCTCAGCCTCCCAAGTAGCTGGGACTATAGGTGCTAGCCACAACGCCCAGCTATTTTCTTGTTGCAGTTGTCATTGTTTAGCTGGCCCAGTCCAGGCTAAGCCTGCCAGCCTCATTGCATGTGGCTGGCGCCGTAACCACTGTGATATGGGCACCGAGCCTTATTCTTCTGTATGCGGATGTCCAGTTTTCCCAGCTCCATGTTTGAAGAAATAGTTGTTTCCCCGTTATGTATTCTTAGCACCTTTGCTGAAGATCATTTGACTGTATCTGAATTGATTTCCAGACTTTTTTTTTTAAAGACAGCATCTTGCTCTGATGCCTGGGTTAGAGTGCAGTAGCTTCATCCTAGCTTTGGCTCAGCCTCCTCAGGCACATGCCACCATAGTCAGCTAACATTTTTGTTTTTTGTATAGACAGGGTCTTGCTACTTCAGTCAGCCTGATCTTGAACTCTTGGCCTCAAGCACTCCTCCCACCCACCCCGCCCCCGGCCTCCTAAAGTGCAGGGATTGTGGGTAAGAGCCAACATGCCCACCCTGATGTCTTGTATTTATCCTGGTATAACACTGTTTTAATTACAGTAACTTTTTTTTCTTTTTCTTTTTTTTTTTTCCCAGTTTTTTGGCTGGGGCCAGGTTTGAACCCGCCACCTCTGGTACAGGGGGCCGGCTCCCTACTCCTTGAGCCACAGGCACCGCCCTTAATTCCGGTAACTTTATAATATATTTTGCAATCAGGAAGTGTGATGCATTCGGCTTTGCTCTTTATCCAGATTATTTTGGGCATTGAGAGCTATTAGCAATCCCCTGTAAATTTTGGGATTCTTTTTTTTTCCTATTTCTTTTTTTTTTTTTTTTTTTAGATGGAGCCTCAAGCTATCCCCCTGGGTAGAGTGCCATGGCATCACAGCTCACAGCAACCTCCAACTCCTGGGCTCAAGCGAGTCTCCTGCCTCCGCCTCCCAAGTAGCTGGGACCACAGGCACCCACCACAATGCCCAGCCATTTTTTGGTTGCAGCCATCATTGTTGTTTGGTGGGCCTGGGCTGGGGATTCGAACCCGCCACCTTAGGTGTATGTGGCTGTCACCTTAGCCGCTTGAGCCAGAGGCACCGAGCCTTTTTTTCCTATTTCTATAACAGAAATTCTGTTGGGACTTTGCTAGAGATTGGCTTAAATCTGTAGATCACTTTGGTTTTTTGTTTTTGGAATGACTAAGAAGCATCTTGTTGATCTCATGGAGCAGGGGTGTTGATTAGCAGCTCACTTTACACACACTTCTTCCACGTCGTTTTGTACACATGTATGGGGGGCCCTTTTATTACAAAAACATTTTCAGAGTCTCTTGGGACAGAACCAGGGGCTTCCCTGTGTGTGGCCAGGTCAACCCCATGTTAATCATTTCAGTCCATGGTGGCCTTAAACCTGGTTGCTGGGCACTGGCTTGGAGTTGCTCCAGGCTCTCCTGTTGTGGAGGGCAGTGGCCTGGGAGCACCTGCGCTTTGCTGCACTCGCCTGGCCACGCAGGGTGCTTGTGGGGGCTGCGCTTTCTCCTTCTCTGTTTTGAAGGTCTCCTTGTTCTTCCCCACAGTTTTTTTGATGTGCTCCTTGATCTTATTGCTCTTGTTTTCTGTCTGTACCAGAACCTGTTCTTCATTGTGTGAATAGAATTGCAGAAAGAGCAATCGATAGTATAATGTTCTTGACATCATGATCTGTGCCTCAGGCTTTTGTGTTGGACCTTAGGCTTGTTGAAAATGATTTTCTGACACCCTGCCCAGCTCCCCATGCATGTTGTTACTGTCACAACCTTCCTCAGGTCGCTGGACACTGTGCCACCCTGTCTAGGTGCTGTAGGTGGTGGAGCGAGGACATCAAGGAGAGACGAGAGCTCACATCTTTTATCAGCACTAGTCTCTGCGTCTAGATTGCTTTGGGTAGTAGGATATTTAACCATATTAAGGCTTCAAATACGTGAATATGGATGCCTTTCGACAGTGTTCTAAGTTATAATACTGTTTTTTGAAAAGTTGAGGAGAGATCTCACATAAGAGTAATTTGTGATTAACTATTTTTAATGAACTTAACTCATTTTTAGTGAATTTATGATCTCAATACCACCATGAACTTCAGAGATATTAATGACTTTCTTGGTTATCGTTCTTTACTTAGCTAATGCTTGAATGAAGGTAATAAAAATTGCTAATTACTCACTAATCTTAGTGCCCATCAGAAGTGGAAATGTACAACTCAGTTAACAGCCAATGTGCTTCCCAGTTGCTAAATGAGGCAAAATTATATTCCATCATAAAATTTTATTAAAAAAGATATGAGGAACCTCATTGTCCCCCCATTTCACATGCCTTCTGCCTGACAGCAGTTTTTCTGGATTTTCTCTATTAGAATTACCTTTTTTGGCTCAGTGCCTGTGGCTCAAGTGGCTAGAGCACCAGCCACATACACCTAAGGTGGCGGGTTCAAATCCAGCCCGGGGCCTGCCAGACAACGACGGCTGCAACCAAAAAATAGCTGGGCATTGTGGCGGGTGCCTGTGGTCCCAGCTACTTGGGAGGCTGAGGCAGGAGACTCGCTTGAGCCCAGGAGTTGGAGGTTGCTGTGAGCAG